TTTAGATTATTAAATTGGGCTTAAGGCAAAATCCACGAGTTATTAATTTCTCAAAATCTCAGGTGCGCGTTTAATCCGCAAAATCGGATAAACCGCTCGCGGATAATCAAGAGTCCGCTGTATTAGATAATAATAATAACTTTTAATTAATCAATACTCTATGGATATCGAGATTGCAACAGACCTCTTAAATAGTTTGTGCGCGGATGTGGGGCTCCGTTTTTTTTTTTCACGTGGGCCTGCTTAACGGCAGCTGGCGGGGGGGGGGGGGGGGCACGCGCGAATGACTTGTGCACGCAGGGGTCAGAGTTGAGTGCGTGGGAGTCCCAGGGGGCGCCGTGGTCATTAACCCCGACACGTGCGAGAGAGCGCAGCTCTGCTCCACTACCAACGGCGCCCGCCGCACGCTCACAAATCACCGCTGTTTACCCATAACAAACAACACTCGCACACCCTCTGCTACACACACACACACAAGACACTCGCAAATAACACTCGTGTTACACATTTTACACACTCGCCACTCATTACATAAGCTACTCGCACAGACACGTATACTGCATACACATATATATACTCTTAAAGACACACACGCACTCACTCTCCTATACAAAAACCTACACATATACGTTCACGCATACACATCCGCACACACGCCACTCTTCGCTTACTATATTGCACCCGCACATAGACATTTTATCCTCCTGTGGTTAACAATGGCATTGGCTAAAAAAAAAAATCAGAAAAGTTGAACAAGGTTAAATCATTCCCTCTAATGCCCCAAATGCAAATGACAAAGATCCCCTGCCATAGCCTTCACAGGCTGTTAGAGCAAGTGGTGTTAACAAGCATTTGTTAAGGCCTGCATGGCAAAGAAGGCTGGCACCATGCCGACCGCATTCGTCTCCCCAGTACTAATGTTTACACACCGCACCAGGTACTAATTTAAGGCCGAGTCGAACTAGGGGAGGCCCGGGATCAATTAAAAGACTGCCATCACCGATATTTTCCACGAGCGGAATTCTAATGCATGTATGTAGCGCAGCGCGCTAACCACCACTCTCCACTGACAGCCAAGACAAACCCATCGATGCCGGGACCCCACCTCTTCCCAGAACGTTTTGTCCTGGCCCCGAATCCCACACATGTTTTGCACTCACGCTTCAATGGTGCGGTCGCGCGCCTGAGTAAGCGACTGAAAATGTTGTTTAGTCACGAGTCGTGGGCAGCAGCAGCAGCACTTCCCACCGCCACAATCACCTCTCATTACCACCACCACCACCACGAGTAGCAAACCTCCCACGACCAGAAACCACCACCTCCCACTACGACCAGCATCACCACCATCTCACACAAATGGCACACCACCACTAGCACCACCAACTCTGGACCACCGTCACCACCACCAGTACCACAATCAGCACCACCAGCATCAACACTCATCAGCTCCCACCACATACACAAGCTATATATTTATTATTTTAATTATTATTGTAAACCAAATCAGTTGATTTGTACATCTTTTGCAAGTTAAATATATCAAAATTACATGACTAATGATTGTAACATTTTGCTAACCGACACAATTATTGTGGATCGCATATTGTACTATGTATCATAGTATTACCATATAACACCCTGAATAATGAACCGGAAAAAATTGACCATTCTATGTTGTCCAATAGACACAACAAATGAGTTTTAATTTCAAATAAATGACACTTGATGGATTCCATCCAAAAATCACACGGAGTTACAATAAGGACGCTGCTGTAAAATCAAGGACGCTGCTGTAAACCAGTAAGGGCCATCAAAGGAAAACAAATTTACTTCTGAAAAAGGGGGCAATAGGTTACCTCGGGAATATTCAAAGGGAAAAGACACAGGTACTTTGTATTTCAGGGTCCAACAACTTAGCTTTTGGTAAAAAGTTACCCAGCTTATTTGAATTATAACCGAGCAATGTTCATTCAAATGAGCCAAGCCATTTCTTCCGCTTCTTAAAACAAAACCTCACGACCGGCGATTACATTTTCCAACTGGGACATCCCACAATAAATTCCAAGGTCTAGACCGCCCAACCCAATGCCATCTCTGCAGTTCTCAAACTTGGGGGCACCGAGTCAGGAGCCCCATCGACTTTGCGACCCAGGCTCTCCTCGGCACGCAGAGCTACAGAACACAGCGCGCGAACGCCAACTCCGCTCAGCACTGCTCCAACGCACGCGTCGGGGCAGGCAGCAGGAAACGGGGTCAATCAGGGGCAGGAAGCGACAATCAGCACGAGAGCGGGGGTCACGGCGTTAGGCACGGGGGAGCCCGGGGACGGCGCAGCGCTAGGTGCCACACCAATTACCCACTTTCACAGCCCAGCATCGGCTGGGGTCAAGGGGCAAACACGGAAGGGTGGCAAGGGGCATTAGGCCATCGCCACCAACACCGATTTGGGAGAAAACACAGCTGCCAGCGGATGGACAACACTTGAGTTGGTGGACAAACTTCAATTCGATATTCAGATGTGGCAGTTGGGCAGGACGCTACAGGTGTAAACGTGGCTCGCACAAACACTCGCACGAAGAATTCAAACGAGTTGCGGGTTTAATCATTTTGGATATTTAAAAGACAATTTCGGATCTTTATTTTATTCTCTTCAGATTGTTGGTCCCTTTTACAGTGGGTAATAACTCAACCTTCGATTCGCACGGTTGGCTACGTACGGCGCGAAAGAAGTTCATACAACCTAATTTTGTCCAAAATAAAGTAGCCTCACCCGATGCCACATGAGAGCCCAGGAAATAAACAGGGCAAGTAAAAATCACTTATTTTCATGGTCACTCTCGGATCTCTTTAAAACAACAAGGATCCATCCGAGAATTTGTGTGCAAGCCGTGTTTTCCGTATTGTACAGACTAATCGGAAATGGATAAAACATTCCTACTGCCTATGATACCGGGAATAGCGGTTATTATGAAGCGATTGGCTCCCGTCACAGGAAGGTGGAATTACCAGCACTGGTTTAGGATCATAATTGGAGAGTACCACCACTTAACGCTCATGTGCGGGGCAGACACTTTGATTTGTTTTGCACAGAGCTCCTTTAACTTTCCTTCGTAAAAAACTGCATGAAAAGCTAAAGAAACACTAGGGACACGACAATAACCAAAACAAAATACACACAGGGGTCATATTGGTTTAAAAACTAAAATAATTAGACAAAAAAAACCGTCGCAAAATAAACTTCAGACATTTTCAAAGGAATTAATTTCGAGAGATTTCAGGCCAATAAAACTTCTGCACATTTGATTGCAAGTGGATTTTTTTTTTTTATACAAGGGAACAGCACATTTTAAAAAATGCTTATTAACTCGTAATATTTTGCTCCTCCATCCCCCACCCAACGTAACTCTATTGCCACGGAGCACGAGACGAACATCAATTCCTGAATGTGCATGCGCATAAAAAGACACGCGAGAAGCAGCGGCTCACTGGTTCGTGCAACTGTGCAGAGTTTTGATTCCCGAGAATGATGCCTGGCTACGGGCAACATCAGTGGTGAGCGGCATTCAAGTATCTCCTGGGCCGCACGTCAAATCACCAACCCGCACTGACCAATCGTGGTGAAATATGGTCAAAGATCCCCCCCCCCCCCATAACTGACAAGGCATAGAAGAATAGGCATTCATCCAGCAGTGGATTGGCAAGCGGCTGGACGTTAAAGGGAGGGGTGTCTTGGGAAAAAAAAAAAACACGATAAACCCACAAAAATCTCACTACCCAGAAAGTAGAAAGATTTTTTGTTGAGAGTCAGCCAATTAACTGGATGAAAGAGTTACTTATTTCGCTCAATGTGCAGCCGCCATCTGCGGGCTGATTATACAAATCATTTGAATACAATCAAAAGTGGACAGTGAAGTGTTCCAATGAAGCTTAGTTTGCCGCTATCTGATTTCTGTGGGTTTTCAAGCTTTGTCCATGACACCCTCTCAATGGTTACTACTACAAGAGATGCCTATAGACAGACGCATCTCATCCACCATTCTAACGCTGGCATTGGCCTCTTGACCTAAAACAGTGATCCTGTCTTTGTGATAAAACTGAGTGGGCATAAGTTTCGCCGGTGACCAAATCACTGGGGAATGCACCCGATCCAGTCTGGATATAGCACTTGGATGGGTGACCACCATGCACAAAGAGGTTGCCACAGGGCTTGCAAGGCTATGTAGTCGAGCTACGTGGTAGACGGCAGAGGGCGGTGCAGCCAAATTCATTGTTGTCCTGTAACTTCTATGCTTCCACAAGTCTAACTCCCCACCTTCACCGACAACCAGCAATGACCAGAATGTGTTTTTGTGTTTAGTTGTCCTTCGGTCACACTTCTCATTAGCATGGTTGGCTACGTAAGGTGCATACGTGGTACTGATCTCGTATTGGATGCCCAAATGACCCCCCCCCCCCACCCAGAGCTGTACGTGCGTGGGGAGGCCCTCATCTACCAGTCAATTGACGAATGGCTGCGCATGTTCCCCAAGCATCTAAACAAACCAACTATAACTTGGAACTTACACTTGTTGCTTTGTCAACGGTTGGAAGTGTCTTGGAAGAAGAGGTGGGAGTCCCCCACACTTCGACGCGCCACACTAGACCTGCCGATCGGCGAATGTCAAGGACCCATTTATAGCCCGCGCTGCCGGCTTGGACAGAGGCCCGGGCGATTCGAAGAAACCTGCACCGTTGTTTGTACTGCCGCGTCGGACAACGGGATCGAACGTGAGACCTCTGCCGGGAACCAATACACACCAACCACACCTCTGGTTGGGTTTGCGCCCCAATTAGTTTGCAGCGTCAGCATTGCGCAGTAGCGGCAATGCAACGCAAATGTTAACTAGGCACGTGCCAGTACAGTTAGGGTCATGGTGACCTTTGCGGTTGTATTCAGTTTATTTTTGAAGCGCTGCTTTCGTGTACCGATCACGACTGTAAAGGGGCATGCCAATAACCAACTCCACCCATGCGCCGCGTTTTATTATCGCAGTGTCAAGGCTCGTCTTGAAAAGTACAAAAAAAAGCAAGCGGTTCGCATATGAAGTTAGTAAATTAACAATGACTAAGCAGACCACACACACTTAACATGTAATTATATAGAAAACAGTGGATACATTTATATTCCATATTGCAGCATCTCCAGACACTTTACAGTAAAATAAACAAGTGACAAAACCTACACCACATTATATACAAACAATAACATCAGTCGATAAGTGACTGGTGTAAGTTATAAATGACGTTTGTAAAGTGCTAAAAGACCGACTTTAAAATAGTCGACTCCATGCTTATAACGCCATATGTTTGTTTTATCTTAAAACAATTTCTTTTATTTTGCCATGCCATTCCCTCGCACCACCCAGCCCCACCAAGAAATTTCAAGGTACAAGGTTTTATCTATTTAGCACTTGAACGTCTGCCTGTGAAAGTGATCTGCGGATTCTGACGCGTGTGGAATCCAAATATGGCATTGGAGTTTCAATAACACGACTGTGCGACGCTAAAGCCAATGGAAAGAAAAACGGTCACCTTTTTACGTATGGCTCAGTTTTAAATAGTTAAAAAAAAATTCTATATACTTTTCAAGATTCATATCACCGATTTATTTTAGTATAAAATGTATATTTGTGCCAGTTAGCAAGATCTATGTTTGTATGCACTAAATATATACATACAATATAATACATACGTAAAGATACAAACGCAAGTTTGAGTTTACCCAAGGAACTTTTAACAGCGGTCGAAGCTGAACTATTACCGTATTCTCCAGATGAGACGCACAACAAACTTGTCCTGGATTTAAATAAATGTACAATATACAAATCTAGAGAATATGGTATATGATGTATATTTTATTACACACCCGAGTATTTAAAATGCTTAACAATACAACACGAAGAAGTTACGAGTCTACGTCGATGCCTTTTAACACCGGATAATCAGCTGCTGCCAGTTTGCACGTGTACAAAACCGATCTCACACAAAAGAAGAGACTCAAACAAAGAGCAACATTTGTTCACATTCACAAGGTACATGCGTATCTCTATCTACACCAAAATGTGTTGGATGGTGTTTTAAAATGTATATTACCAACTTCCGCAATTTAGGTGAATATCTTAAGAGAATTGTCCATAATGCAATCGATTCATTCTTATGTAAAAAAAATGTGTTTCAAAATGTTGATTCGTGGCCTTACAGCAAAGTTCTGCATGAAAAATCACCAACGTTATATATACATTTCTCTATTCAGTCGATTATTTTTATATTGTATGCCTTTAACAAACTATTCAGTTGGAAAATTTTAAGTCGAAAGTTTTATGCGAGCAATTTAGTGTGCATACATTGAATCATAAAAAAATGATGTATTCTTTCTGGCGTAAATACAAATATTAATCTTCAAACATCAACTAGACACCAACTGCAAGGCATCATGTCTATGGCAACCACACGTACTTGTGGAAACCTAAACAAATATGCTTTGATAATGCATGCGTTGTTCTTGAAACTCATTGCCCTACATCAGAGACATCCTCCTTTATAGCTTGGTCTCACCATTCGCTTGACCAAAGACCGCCAAAAGTCGAGCGAGCAGTACAAGGTCAATACAAAAACCAAAACAAATATACTTAGGTTCAGCAGTTAGCGGGCATGCAACTTTGTGCTCGACACCAATTAGCCTACTCAGCACTGTTTATGAGCTCGCCACCAATTAACCTACTCAGCACTGTTTATGAGCTCGCCTTCAATAAAGTATTAAATTGTAGGAAGGTGACAAGTTCAATGCCACTTCCAATAATACAACACCCAATAGCCGCTTTGACAACCTTCGCATAATCAAAACCCTCCACCATTGTTGGTGGTGTAGGTGGTGGCGGTAATGGTGGTGGTGCATTATTACTCGTGATGGTGTACTAGAGATGCTATTCTTGCATAGGGCAATATGTTCAGGATAAATGCCAATGGCGAAGTCCATTCGGCAGGAGAGGGCTTCAAGACAGAATGTGCAGTAGCCATTAATGTGTTGGTGGTGGTGGTGGAGTAGTGGCGCTTATGATGGTGGTAGTAGTAGTGGTGGTGCATTAGTGCTCGTGATAGTGTAGTAAGTGGCGACTGTCACGGTGATGCAGTGGTGTTGTCGTTGGTGGTGATTGTGGTGTAGTGGCGGTGGTTAAGTTGTGTAGTGGTGGTAGAAAGCGGTCGTTCTGTAGCGCTGGTGGGGTGTTGTCTCCCACCGTTAACCGACGTCTCCGACGGCCCAGGGACGCATTTGCAGGAAGCCATCTCGCTCAGCCGCAATGAGGATGTTACGGGGGACCCTCAGCAGTCGGCCCTGCAGGGTGGGCAGATAAGGTCGCTGCACGGTCCAACAGCATTCCCATCGGCTGAAACCGAAAGAGCATGCGGGCCCCGTCAAAACATTTTCCCCGACTTTGGTTTTTGTTTCCGTAATGATGAGTGGTGTAATACTTTACTACTGGGTGGCAGCTGTGGTGCTGGATCAATCTCCCGAGAGACTGTTTGTGGGGGGTTATTTGACCATACTTTGCCACGCTGCCGAGTGCAGGTTGGTCATCAAATGAGGACCAGCACCCGGTGCAAATATCACTTTGCTGCTACAGATGTTCACTGCGGCTGGAAATTAAACTATGTTTGCCAAGTTTGGATTGAAGTATGCACACCTTCGTACACCCGATTGAGTAATGGTGAAAAGTTAGTGTAAAAAGGAAGGTTTTATTTTCTGTGATTATAATCGGGCATCTCAGTGACATCAAGTGCCCTTATATCATTATTGCTTTGATGTCGTTCTGACTGCTAATACAGTCTATGGCTTAAAAAGTAAATTCCATGTCTCCCAATGAACTACTTTAACCATTTCCTTCCTTTCAACTTTTGGTAACATTTGTAGTGAAGAAAGCGAAGGAAGAAACTTGTGGATTTAGTTTTGTTAAAACGTACAGATACGTACGTATACATAAGATCAAACAACCCCGCACGACCGACATCCAGCAGTGGGTTGTGACAAGAGGGCCGCGAATGAACACCACAATTTACAAACGTGCGCACGTTTTTCAGACAAATGCAAAATAGCGGTTCAGTGCAGGGCGAGCAAAGACGAACAATAAAAAAAGGAGAGGAACTTCTGACAGCTGGCCTGTGAAAAGGGACTGCAAAAGAAAAAAAAGTAATGGGGAAAAGACAATGAAGGGGGAGCCGATTCGTCAGAACCGTTGCAGGGGCGCAAATCTTCAATCCAAAACTCGCCGTGAATTTTCTACAGCCAAATTCACCCACCCCCCCCATCTCCCTCGTCCGCCGGTAAAAAAAAAGACATTTTCCATCCTCACTTTCTTTTTGACGTTGTTTTGTTGTGGCACCGTGGCGGCCGATTCACATTTCCTGATGCTCGTGTAACTCGGATTATTCCCTACAAATGGGGGAGGGTTTCAAAGAAAATCGTTTGCTCAAAGCGTTTTTTTTCGAGTCCGATGCAAAAACGATGCAACTTAACCGGAGTTCAAAGCAAGTTCTCAATTTGTGTTATTTTACGTAATAATTGAAAGGATACCGCCAAGATGCGAACGCGAGCACCGCAAACTGTAGAGCCTTGGTGGTGGTGACGGTGCCGATGTACGGGTATATTCTCATCGAAATTTTCGCGTGATTTTAACAAAAGACCAAGTCTTTCTTGAGCTTAGATTCACATAATATAAAAAAATATATTTAATTGTTCAACGCATCTGTTAATACTTCTTCTAGAGGCCTGGCAGCTGAATTTTGTTGAATAGCTAGCTTTCAAAAGTAAGGCTACACATTTCATATTTGTATGCTGTAGTCACAACTGTGCTTTGATCTAACATTTTACATGTATATTTTTATATAAACTTTGCATTAGTTGAGCAGCACATAACTGGTATTTTTCTTTGAATGGTTCAAAACTTGTTTCGCTTACCACCAATGCGTATTCAAGTTATATTCAGTCACATTTAGTTTAGTACAATTTTAACGTTCTATTTTGCATATCGCAACGGCAATGTGTGTCACTGCTCTTCCATCAATAATCTTTTGGGAAGAGAAGTCTGAACGAACGAAAACAGGCCAACCCAAAAACCTCAAATATACATTTTTTACAAACTTTTCAAAGTTCCTCACGCCAACAAAAGTCATCCGGTGTTACCCAATGCTCATGTAACTTTAGAGGTGCTCCACAATTGTCCCGCAGCGAGGCCCGATTCACGATGACCACACGCCTGAACTACGTGGGCCGGGTGGGGGGGGTAGCGGCCGATGCTGCTACTCCGGCTCAGCCGTTTACGCAACATCGAGCCGATGCAAATAAACAAACAAGCAGTGACACGCTGGCAGTCGGCGGAGAAAGAGAATTCTCCTTTTTTTTTTTTAAACAACCCAAACACGGCCAGAGAGACGCCGTGTCCCGCCTTGGTCACGACCTCTGAACACAGAGGTGGGGAAACGTTTCCTTTTACCGAGGGCCAAATTGGACTTTAGAATACTTTTCCATTACCACGTAAACCTCAGTAACTTACGGCACTCCAAGAGACCCTTGCGAGGTTGACGGAAGCGACCGAGGTGTGTTCTGACCAGGTAGAAAATATTTCCCCCGCTGGTGCCCGAGACGGATGACAAAGTTGCTTGCTGTGTGTGATGGATAATTAGCGTTTGGGGGACGTTTCGAAGCGGTAACCCCTCAATGTAGCAGCGGACCGTTAGAAATTAGGTTTTGGGCCATATTTGGCTCCCGGGGAGGGCAGGAGGCGTTTCCACTGCAGATGGCCACCACGGCATTTTGTGTCTCTTCGCAGTCAAGTGCCAGGCGCTGGGTCAGAGTCCTCTTGTTCAAAAGGTGTGGATTTCCCAACGGGGCTCCACGTGCACACATGCGTACATGCTTATTGTTAGGCTGTCAGTGGTGTAATCTGTAGTTTCGCCTATCTTACCCAAATTACTGCAATTTTTTCATTGTGCACTGCCAAGAACACTTTAGAGATACTTGCGTTTCACAGCTTTAAAAATTTAATTATTATCCTTCATGGATGAACTTTACTAACATAATCAAACTCTTGATTACCACAGTAATGGAGGCGTCCGCGGGTGGGGGTAAGAGGTTAACAAAAACACAGTATAATGCAAAGGTTTATAAATTAGGCTATACAATGTAATGTAGTGTTTACCTATGCGGAGATTAAAGTAATTGAAGCAATCACTTTACTTGCGATCACGCGGGCACAGGTATGACTAACCCCCGATGGAGTGAGGAGCAGCTAATAATTTGTGATGTCATCATTCTTTTTCAAGTGCAGTTAATCCGCAAACCCCCCCCCCCCCCCTCCAAAAAAAAAATCCACCCGTGGATAATGAAGTCAACCGTAAGTGCATTTGGCATCTCAAAAGGTTCCTTTCTCCTTCCACCTAAGATCAATTTGCCAGTCGACTAGAATGACACGTTTTCTAATTTAACACGTAGTAGATTTTCATAGCCAATTTTATTATTCGCAGTTGATTTTTGGCGTTGGGCCACAAAAGATCTGACCAAATTGTTGGCTCGTATATAAAACACAAAATGTGGTATAAATTCTCATTATTTTACACGTATATTTAAATTACATTGTAATGTATGTAATGCAATGTTTAAAACGACGGAAATATTTTTCGTTATTGATTTTTAGTTTATGCCAGATGACAGATTTGTTCAGATCGTTATGTCAGCAGTTTAACCCAAAATCTATTTTGAAAACATTTTCCAATGTACAATTTTCCACCACCACCACTTTCGTGTGAGAATTTGAAGGCTGCCTTCAAATGTTATTATAAAAAATGAAAAAATCTATTTATTACATTATTTTTCCAAGCGGCTTTCGGTTAAGGAGAGCTAATAAAAAGACAATTATTTTGTGATGCTGCTACGCTGGCAGTGGTGCCCAACCACAAATAACAAAGTCACAGCTGTCATTCACGCCGCCTTAAAAAAGTCAACAGGCAAAACGCCGCCTATTACATCTTTTTCATTTTCAAGGCAGTGTTATTGACGAATGTGTAAAGTTATTTTTAATAAAATAAATCAAGTAATTTTTTGCCCTCATTCGCATTTTTTTTTAAAAAGAACAAAATGTGTTCGAGTTCACAACTTGTGCGTTTGTATATAAAACATAATTATTCAAATTTCGGGAATAACCGTGCTTGCAAGAGCAAAAGTGTCAGTTTATGCACACGCAGGTTTAATTATTAGCTGCTCCTCACTCTCGTTAGGAGTGAGTGACTCGGTGCCCACGTGACCGCAAACAAATCAGCAAGTAAAGAAACACATAAAAAGGTTATATTTGTGTATGTGTATATATATACAGTACACACATCCATGTGTGTATATATATACACACACACACCCATGGTTAGCAAGGGATATTTGAACCGATCCTGGGCCTCCCCTTTCCAACCCACACTGACCAGGGTGGTGAAGCATGGTCAAATGGCCCCCATGAATTGACATTTAAATGGGGGTTGGGGGGGGCAGGAAGCCTTCACGCAGAAGCAGATTGACAAGGGACCGTGGTGCTTACTGCACATATGGTACAATGCGGCATGTTCATGTAAATTAATAAATAAATGCTGTGGAGCTTCAACAAAATAAAAAAATCAAACCGTTGAACGCGACTCCCAGTGGGCAGGTTTGCCCATTTATGTTCAACACAAAAGAAACAGCCTGCACCTACTCGCAAGATTTTTTTTTGCTAGTTTCAAGTCCTACACAACACAAATAAAAAATAGGGGGTTGGAAAAATACAGACATAACATTACAATGCATGTCGTGCCAGGAAAGTAAATATATGTGGGTAGAACAATACTTTTCCGTATTTTTTTGTTTTTATATATCTATATATAAGGCAAGTAATACGTGCGGAATTAGTTATATATGCAGGAATCTCAATGTTAATAATCTCAACTTGAAAGAGATATTCTGCAATAAATTTCAATTGTTTTAACTATAACACTGCGACTCCACGTTTTAAATGCCATTTAGCAAGAACGAGTGGCCACTTCATTCGTCACTGCACAAAACAGAAACGCACAATTCATTCCATCGGTTTCACGAAGTGGAGATCACCATGCATTAATGACACGTGACATTTTAAAAGAATAACAGTCGAACAAAATAACCCAAAAGTCAACAACAATAACCACTGAATATTTACACTTCACCACCTCATGGGGGGGAGGGGGGGTGTAAAACCCCAGGGTTCGTTTTTTGTTACATTAATGGTAAAACCACAGCGGTCTCTCACCAGGGTCCCAACCCCACCATGGCGTCACGACTCTCGGCACATATAAAAAACGCAGTTGTGGCCATCAGGTGTATAACCGCGCGTGCTCGTGACAAATTAGTAACAAACTTGATTTGGACAGAGGACGATTAAATAAACGCCTCTTCTACTCAAAAGCGACTTACAATTTCATGAACTGAGCAATCCCAACTCGACACGGGCACCGTGACCGATAAACACGGGACCTTAAGCCCAAAATAAAGGCCCTTAACGCACCCCATTGTGTTCATAAGTGCAGTTTCCCACCCTTATTATCCAACTCCGTCTATCTGGCCTCCAGTTAAGTGATATGAAGAAGGGCCAATGCCCAAAACGACACTGATCATTCCAATTTTTGTTTCCATTCGTGGGTCAGTGCTGTTAACGAATTGAACGTGGAGTTTTTTTGGTTAGAGGAAAGGCCGGCTTAATGAGTGGGGTTGTCTGGGAGAGAAGTTGTCCAGTTGAGCTAATTAATAGGGAGCCTTTGAGAGGAGTAAGGGGGTCAGGTCGGGTTAAGTAGGGGGACTGGGAGAGAAGAGGAGGTCAGGTTGGGTTAAGTAGGGGGACTGGGAGAGGAGAGGGGGGGGTTCAGTTCGGTTGAGGAGTGAGGCTGGGAGAGGGGGGGGTCAGGTCGGGTTGAGTGAGAAGCTGGGAGAGGAGAGGGGGTCAGATCGGGTTGAGGAGTGAGAAGCTTGGAGGGGGGGTCAGGTCGGGTTGAGGAGTGAGAAGCTTGGAGAGGAGAGGAGGGGGGGGGGTCAGGTCGGGTTGAGGAGTGAGAAGCTTGGAGAGGAGAGGAGGGGGGGGTCAGGTCGGGTTGAGGAGTGAGAAGCTTGGAGGGGCGGGGGTGGGGACTGGGAGAGGGTGGAGAGGGGGGGGGGTGCCAAAGCGACGAAAACCCCCACGGTGGCAGCGACGTCCTTTTGTTCATTTATTTGCTTTCAAAAAAAATCTCTCGCTCACACGTGGCCACGCTCGCGCTCCGTGTGACAATCAAAGCGCCGAGAAGGCGAGATGACGAAATGGGCCCGATGTCCCTCGTGTTACTCACTTCACTGGACAATAAAGGTGGTGGTGGCGGCGGCCAGCGGTGGCGACAGCTGCGGCCAAAACTCTTGAGGAGGGGGGGGAAGGGAAGACACGCGGCGCGGACAACAACCAGCATAAGACGACAACAACAACAACACGAGGACAGATTTCTTTTTGTTTTAAAACCCACACAATGGGCCACACCCCTCGGAAATTAAGACGCGCCTAGGTTGGCCGCTGACGGCAGAATCGAGAGCACGCGACGACACGGGGGGGGGGGGGGGGAGAAAAAAAGCCCATTGTGACTCCTGAAAGCGTCGGGGGGGGGGGGCTCGGGAGGGAGCCCCAGTGGTGGCTGCTGCTGCATACGCATCGATACATCAGAAAATTCTAGCAATAGGACACGAGCGACAGTGGGGGGGGAAGGAGAGAGACCAGCGCAGAGACTCAACACATCGAAGAGTCGGGCGAGCTTACGGAGCAACACCCACACGCGGAATCGTCCCTTTTTGTTGTTGTCGTCATCCGTCCGTCTTTGTATCACTCGCGGAGGCGGCTGCTAATCGTAGCGAGCGATATTGCGCGGAAATCGAACGGCAAAGCGGCAAGGGACGCTCCGAAGCGAGCGGCGGCGGCTTGAGCCGACGCCGCCGCCGCTTCGGTGTGAATAACGCGGGTTTGTAAAAAAAAACCCCACTCGTATTAACTTGGGTTTATTTTTTTTGGTACGAACAAAACATTACAAAAAGCCGAATCGCGTTTTTCTTTTCAAAACAAGTTAATCCGATCTCTACAACAAACAAAAAAACACAAGCCACAGCATCATCATCATCATCGGCACTTCTTATGTGTGTGCGCGCGCGCTGAGAATGTAATCGCTCACTCATTTAAAACACCAATGGGGACACAATTAGCCCGGCAGCGACTAAACAACATTTCCATCAGCAACCAAACTGAACAAAAAAACGTCGCGCCCCGGTGCCTTCGTTACCTCCTTGTTCATTGGCGACCGAACGAATGTCAACCGATAACAGCCAAACTAGCGCGCGATTGACACAACGCATTTAACGCTATAATAATTCGCAAATGTCACATCTTTTAAAAAACGTCGGCCATACGCCGCGCGTTAACGCCTCCCATTAAGCCACGATCACAAACGGCGCAACAACGGCGTCTTCGTCTTCTTTCTTCGGGGGGGGTAGGAGCGAGCTCCGATGAAACGCGAAACCGTTATTGTAGCCGAGAGGCGCTGCATCTCACGCTGCTACCACAGCCTCCTCCTCCTCCTAAGATAGCGCTCCCTCCTCCTCCCAATGCCTGAACCCCAAGTCACAAGTGACGCCGTCACGCAGAGAGAAGAAGCCCCGAGCCTAGCCCAGAAACCCTGACGAGTCAACCCGCCAACTCTCCCCCCTCTCCACCCACCACCAAAACTCGCTGTGTCCGGAGAGGAGAGAACCACCCCACCACTACTCCTCCCCCCTCGGTCCAATGGCAGGAGGGACGAAGCAGCAGAAAGGACCCCCCCCAACCACCCAGCATCTCTCCACCCCCCCTCTCGCTCGCATCGGCCACAAAGCGACGCGGCCATTGGAGGCGGCGCGCGTTTCATATTCACACAGGCGCCGTAATTACGCGTGTCGAGGCGCACTTGGGGCGACCGGGAAAGGGTTGGTGGTGGTGGTGACCCGCTGTGGTGGTTTTGAGTGGGCATGTCCACTCTTTCCACCCCCCTCCCCTCGCCCGCCCACCCGCTTCAGATAGCGACCACAACCAGGGCGGACAACCGCGGGCTAGAAACGAACAACAAAAACCTTGGGATCGATCATAATCGCGATCGCAACTCGCCACAAGCGAATGAATGGATTCCGCATTAGCAGACACGGAACGCGGGTGACTCACCTGTCCCCTGCCCCCCCACGTGTGTGTGCGTGCGTGTGTCTATATATCATGGCCACTTTCACACGTAAACGCGCTCGCAAATCGTGGGACTCAGCCACCCCACCCAACGTCACCAAATCCTCCCACGGATTGAGGCCAGACGCTGTTAGCGAGCGCCTATTAAGGGCGCCCCTCCCTCCTCCCCCGAGTGTCGTCGGGGTGTTTCCCCAGGACGTGCCCGAGTGACAACGCAGCAGACATTCAATGTCGATGAAATCGACACGGGGAGGAGAGGCCCAGGCCATGTGGCCAATCTTACACCATTGTGTATGCAACCGCGGTAAATGGTACGCGGTGAGGAATCGAACCGAGGTCGCTGTTTGTTCGACGTTTCAGTTGGACACATGCCCCGGACGTCCGAGATGAAAGTTGCGCATACGGTATTCAGAAACCCTGCTGTATACTGTATGCTGAAGGTAGAAACTGTATTTGAACGCGTTTGGGAATTCCGTATCCGAAACGCGCCGCTGTATCGGCCTAACAAGACAACACACGTAGATGGAGACGAGTAAAAGGTGACGTTTTTATCTTTACATCAAGTACTCGTTTTAGAAACGCAATCTGTCAACTGCTGGGAATGAAGGCCTCGCCACGCCGTAGCGATTATTTGGGGCCGGGGGAGCGAGTAGAAGGATTACCATACTTCACCACGCTGGCCATTGTTGATTTGATCAGCGAATGTGAAGAGTTCACCCTGGACCGGTACAGGTGCCAGGCACTCGCAACTGATGTCAGCCGTGTGACCGGGAATCACACTTATGTCGCAGCGCGCTAACCACCGCGCCACCGCTCCCTACACCCCCCCGACTTTGTTATACAAAGACAAAGATCACCCTCATAGCATTAACTAACCGATTGGGGCAAGCGCTCTTAGCCAGCACCTATTTAGGCCGAAACGGCACACGAGGGGGTGACCAAACACCACGCCCGGCCACCTTTGCCTCCCCAGTAGCCTGCAAACAGGTACTAATACGTGACCGAGTCGAACTATAGCGCTTACGCTCCCACCGTACGTACACGCGAGCGAGCGCGCACACACACACACATTCTGGGAATGGGGGCAACCAAGGACAGCCGTGCTACGAACGTAGTGGAGGGCGCTTGCACGCTCCCCTTCCGCCAGAAAACGACACAATTCGCTTTCAGAAGCACCTGCCGCGCGCTTCGTGCTTTTGTCGCTGCAAGTTTTCCCAAACAGCGGTATGGACATTACAACAGCTACGCGTCCCCCCCCAACCCCCGTGTATGCATCTGGTACAAGTCACGCTTAATAATGGCAGTTGTGGTGCTAATATCGATCTTCTGTGGAGGTTTGTGAAGGACGCTAACTCGGCAGTTGGAGGCAATCGCCCTCCGATGACAAGGGGGGGGGAGAGCAGATGATCGACCGCTCATAACAGCGAGCACAGTACCGAACTGATGCACCTTAAAATGGGAAGCGCGTTTCCCAGTAATCTCAGTCATGTGTAACTCATAACAAACCCCAGAGGCTGTTACCCCCACCTCGTCAGGAAGCCTTCGAAAGACACTTCGCTTGACCCCAAATTGCACCTAGCCTGGCACAAAGCACCTTGGTGATGTCATCGTCTTTTCGCGACGAATGACGGCTGTTACCGTATGACAAAGTGTGCAGATATGTAGGCTCCCTAATCTCAAGGCCTAAAGCGCATTAACGAAACGCAGCTTATACACATTTTTTTTTTAAATGGCCACGTCCCCGAAAATCGTAGCGCTTAAGACTCTGCCCACTTCTTCTGGGACACGGCCGCTCCCAAATGACAAACCAGCCATGGTTTTTTTTGCAACAACAAGAGGAGGAACAACAACAGACCCTTACCAGCTAAGAACACCCTGACCTCGCGGCCACAAGGGTCGCGTGCGTCCCCCCCCCCCCCATAGGTGGTTGGGCGAACCAACCGATAGTTCGCAAAGTTAACACGACACACGTTAACCACCTGAAAATTCGTGAGTAGCCACAACATAAAATAACCTCAACTCACACCATCCGGGGTGTTTGCACGACTCAACAACGCCCAATAAGACTCAAGAGCCGAACTTTATGGATAAACAATGTGCATCGTTGGCAGAACGTCTTGCGAAACTGCATCGTTCCTTCCATGAAAGAACAGACCGAACATTTGCCGAAGGCCCCCCCCCCCCAACCCCCGTGCGTGTCCATTGCCAAGGTCATTTCTAACGTCAAGGTCAACATCAGTCATCATCAAAAACCTATTTATATCAGGCAGCAAAAGGCGATCCCAGTGTGACCATGGGATTCGCCAATTGGATCTGCCAATGATGGGTCCACCATAGCGCCCCTTTGCGCTGTAAGAAACGCGTTTTGCGTCTTTTAGGACTCCCGTTTCTAGCCAGCACAATTCCTGCCATATCGGTTTCCCATCACTTGCAGTGTTAGAGAGCTGGTTCACCGTCATCGTCACCTCTGCCAGACAAATAAGGTAAACTACAATTGTAGTTACCGTAGCCTACTATGCAACGGGTAACTTGGTTGTACAAGACCACAGAAGGGTTCCTCTCAACCTAACCCTGCTTGCGGCCCGTCAACTGCCCCAAGAGTGCCAGCAGCCACAACCCGACCCCCCCACGTTGCCATACGGTCAGCAGAGTTCATCTCGGGCCACTCTACGCCGAGTCCGCATAAGCGTCAGACTCTGGGTCTCCCATTAAAAAGAAGTTGGAGAACGAATTCTACTCGAGTATTCAAACGGTAATCGCCCGTCTTGGTTTTTTTTTGCTTCTTAATCGAGTAAGTCGGAGTCGCTTTTTGCCGTTTTCCAAAATGCGATCGGTTTGTGCAGCGGCCCACAATCGACTGGCGTCCAGTTTAAAAACGGCGATTGGGACAGCATGTCACGTGGGGCTTCATTTCACACCGTGTCCTGATTTGTAACCGGCGGCGATTGCGCTGTAACTTTATATGCAACATTCTTGAAACGAAGCTTTCGTGACTGCAGAAATCTTTGGTTCTTTCGGTGAAGTCACGTAGGTAGAAGAAAAATAATACTAGATCACGACGTTTCGATCGCCACACAAGCAACCGTCTTCAGGCGGGAGACGGTTGCTTGAGTAGCGATCGAAAAGGCGTGATCTATTATTACTCTTCTATCTACGTGACTTTACCGAAAGAACCAAAGAGTATGTATATACAACACCCATCGATTTACACACCAGATAAATTTTCCAACTTTTGATCCAAAAAACAGCGCTTGTTCGAATAACCTACAGTGAGGGAAAAAAGTATTTGATCCCCTGCTGATTTTGTACGTTTGCCCACTGACAAAGAAATGAACAGTCTATAATTTTAATGGTAGGTTTATTTGAACAGTGAGAGACAGAATAACAAAAAAAATCCAGAAAAACGCATGTCAAAAATGTTATAAATTGATTTGCATTTTAATGAGGGAAATAAGTATTTGACCCCTCAGCAAAACATGACTTAGTACTTGGTGGCAAAACCCTTGTTGGCAATCACAGAGGTCAGACGTTTCTTGTAGTTGGCCACCAGGTTTGCACACATCTCAGGAGGGATTTTGTCCCACTCCTCTTTGCAGATCTTCTCCAAGTCATTAAGGTTTCGAGGCTGACGTTTGGCAACTCGAACCTTCAACTCCCTCCACAGATTTTCTATGGGATTAAGGTCTGGACACTGGCTAGGCTACTCCAGGACCTTAATGTGCTTCTTCTTGATCCACTCCTTTGTGGCCTTGGCCGTGTGTTTTGGGTCATTGTCATGCTGGAATACCCATCCACGACCCATTTTCAATGCCCTGGCTGAGGGAAGGAGGTTCTGACCCAAGATTTGACGGTACATGGCCTCGTCCATCGTCCCTTTGATGCGGTGAAGTTGTCCCATCCGCTTAGCAGAAAAACATCCCCAAAGCATAATGTTTCCACCTCCATGTTTGACGGTGGGGATGGTGTTCTTGGGGTCATAGGCAGCATTCCTCCTCCTCCAAACACGGCGAGTTGAGTTGATGCCAAAGAGCTCCATTTTGGTCTCATCTGACCACAACACTTTCACCCAGTTGTCCTCTGAATCATATGTGCTTTCTTGAGCAGGGGGACCTTGCGGACGCTGCAGGATTTCAGTCCTTCACAGCATAGTGTGTTACAAATTGTTTTATTGGTGACTATGGTCCCAGCTGCCTTGAGATCACTGACAAGATCCTCCCATGTAGTTCTTGGCCGATTCCTCACCGTTCTCATGATCATTGCAACTCCACGAGGTGAGATCTTGCATAGAGCCCCAGGTCGAGGGAGATTGACAGTTCGTGTTTCTTCCATTTGCGAATAATCGCACCAACTGTTGTCACCTTCTCACCAAGCAGCTTGGCAATGGTCTTGTAGCCCATTCCAGCCTTGTGTAGGTCTACAATCTTGTCCCTGACATCCTTGGAGAACTCTTTGGTCTTGGCCATGGTGGAGAGTTTGGAATCTGATTGATTGATTCTGTAGACAGATGCCTTTCATACAGGTAACAAGCTGAGATTAGGAGCACTCCCTTTAAGAGTGTGCTCCTAATCTCAGCTCGTTACCTGTATAAAAGACACCTGGGAGCCATAAATCTGATTGAGAGGGGGTCAAATATTTATTTCCCTCATTAAAATGCAAATAAATGTATAACATTTTTGACATGCGTTTTTCTGGATTTTCTTGTTATTCTGTCTCTCACTGTTCAGAAAACCTACCATTAAAATTAGACTGATCATTTCTTTGTCAGTGGGCAAACGAACAAAATTAGCAGGGGATCAAATACTTTTTTCCCCTCACTGTAATAAACGCATCGGGAAAACCGTGACTTTTCACAATGGTACACCAACTTGACAAACTACTACCTACAGAAGGGGCCAATGGCCGAAAGCGTTGTCGGTTATTGACGAACGTGTTGAGTTGTGTACGCATTCTAGACCGTCCGTGACCCAAGTCAATGAAAGGAGACAGATTCGTTTGAACGGGGGAAGAAAAAACTACTTCTGTACCGCGACATTTCTTCATAAAAGCAAAGCTCGTTCCGACAGTTTGAGCAATATTCCTTCGGGAGCATGCGGCAACCCGTTAATCTGCAATATCGATAGGCAGCTGTCTTTCCTTTTTGTTGCTGCCGCGCTCACGGACCCCGATCTCCCTTGTAAAATAGTCGGAAAACTGGCCGAACGGGATCGTCCGTGCGGCAAATAAAAGTATCTTCAACTCGCAGTCTTCGCCTCTCCCGTTGTTGGGGGGGATCATCTTAACAATGAGCGCCACGCCCGCGTCTGTTCCACGCCACGGTGGACGTCGCGACGATGGCCACCACGACGAAAAATGAATTTCGTGACGACTCGCTTCCAGCCGCAGATTCCCTGCGGCCAGGCGGATTTTTGTTTTCTCACCTGACGTTGGCGCGCTGCTATTGATGTTACCGGTCAATCGACTGCTGGATGAAGACCCTCCTCCACACGCCGCGTCACTCAAGCGGCGGTTTGTTTGATCACACTTCACCGCGCTGGTCAATGTGGGTTGACGAGGAGGTTGTGGAGGGGAGAGACCGGTTCGGAAGGCACTCGGCTACAGACGACGTCGTGGCCGGGAAATGGAACTCGGGACGCTGGGTTCATTGTGCATTGCGCCAACTTCCGACAACCACTGCGCGACCGCTCCGTCAGTTGAACCATAATCATATTTTAATTAGGTTATACTTTAATAATAACAATGCCATCTTTGTTTTACACAAGAAAGGCTTTCTCGAGTCTCCAGACTAATTGCAATAAAGCCCTTGCGCTTTGAGACTTCGGGGGAAGAAAAAAAACTTTCCATGGGGTGATTTTTAGTCCATAAAAGTAGTAAGACTTTAGTCCAAACAAATGTATTAATTTGGTTAATAAGCGTGGATTATTTTACAATCCACTCATTGCAAACGGTTATCGAATGCACCTTTTTAGACCAAAAATAAATTGGAACCACTAAAAGTTATGCAACCTCAGGTTTACCAAGTGAAATATCTGGTCTGGGCTTATTGACGTATTTGTTTCGTTTGAAAAGATGCCACAGCTCCCAGAGAACACCCCCCCCGCCGCCAACATTTACGAAGGGAAAGCATTCCATCCTCTTCATCACTGGCGCGGCACAAATGCGTGGGCGTCGATCAAGAACTACGGGAACCTTCCGATTACCGAGGGTGAAATAGAACGTTCAAAAAAATACCTTTGGCGAGACGCACATGACACGCATACATCATTGACTTCAGGTCAGAGTAAGTGACCGAGTGCACTTGAATTAGAAACACACTGCTCTTTGCGCGAATATACATTCTCGCCTCTAGTACCCGATTAGTGCGACTACCAAGACGCTCGCAGCAGCGAGGGAATCGCGTCGTATGCGGGCCGGTTCGAAGTGGCGAGCCACGGGTGTGGTCACGGGCCGTACGGAATATGAAGCCGAGGTTTAAAAACGGTCCGCTGGCCAACTCAAGCTGCAATTAAATATTTCTGCTGCCTAACGAAAAAATAAAGCGACATTCTGAAATCCGCACCGCACCTGGGGGAACCGTTTCGCATAACCCTACAGCAACGCGTCCACCCCGTGGTCATTCAGCAAAACGAATATGCCCGTCCGCGCTCTTGGCACCTGTTTAGCCAACACCGCACTGACCAGCGTGGTGAAGTATGGTCAAATTAACCCCGCACGATCGCCATGGCGTGGAGAGGCCCACATCCAGCGGTGGATTGACACGCACACAAAAAAAAACAGGCTGTACATGTGGCCTGTTGGCGCCTGAACAAACGGCGCACAGGCGCAGGAAGAATTAAAAATTAGAGGGGGCGAGGGAAGAGACTTTCGGGGCGAGATCGGGTCACCAAACCCGCCACCCCTCCCCCGAACGGCGCATTTTGACTTTTATCGCACAAAACACCTGCGACAGGTGACCCAACAGTTCCACCTCCGAACGCCCGACTACGCGTTGTTATTATTGTTGTTTCACCGAGCAATGTTAATCCACTGCTGGATTGAAGGCCTCCCCCTACGCCTTGTGATCAAACCACACCCCTCAAATGACACGAGACATAAAAGCGATCCCCAACCGCGCGCGTCTCTCGTGTGGGAGGAGGGGGGGGGGGAAACTCGGCGTCTCTCCATATTGAGCAACAAAAAAAACGGGCGTTGGAAATTCCACATTCCTGCGACGGGGAGTGGTACAAACCGCTAGCGACTTAGCAGAACACGACACGGTACGCTTTTTATAGACCAGCTGTGAGAAATGATGGTCGTGGTGGGCTGGGCGGACCATTTGATCGTGGTTTAAACTTGCGAGCATTCGATTTAAAGAGTACTGTATAGATATATACTGTAGCGTTACAGTATCTGTGTGTGCACGCCTCTGCGCTGGTTAAACATCGATCGGAAAGTTATAATTGTTATTGTTTGGAGGCACAGAATTGATGTAACACCATCACTCGCCGGCGATTCGATTGATTTGTTGTTGCGCTTAGATTAATTTAAAACAATCTATTGTTTTTTTTGCAAGAGCAGCGAATCGTAGCGGCTCTGTGGTTGCGGGAGGGATGTATCCTCATTTTATACAACGTACGGATCGATAAAAACACGAGTTATATTTTATAATAGATCCATCAAGTCACATTTTTACCGACTCGTTTTTATTGTTTCCCCCACTTGCTACGTTTCGTTCGTAGCGTGCGCGTCGGGAGGAGACTCCAAATGTCGCATTTGCAAATTTAAGTCACGCATTTGCACAATTCGATTAACATAGATTCTTACATGATACGCGTATGATCGCGAGCGTAACTATCGATGATAAATCGATGGCTCATTACAAGGTGCGGTATAGTACTGTCACACGATACAGTACTTCTGTAATACTACACGCTATAAATACAATACAATATCACAATGGGAACGCGCCGTGTTAAACGGAGTCCGTGACATCATTGGCAAGAGGCTATTGCCACGGTTATAGGACGGCTGTCGATACGTTGTATATTAGTTAGTTTGTATATTACACACAAATACATAAGAATATATAACTACCGTAATGTAACAACAATATTCAAATTGTTGTTACATTACGGTAGTCGGTGAGGAGCCCTTCATCCGGGTTGTATATAGTTTTAATTATACAATAGAATTGTGGTCATGAACCTCCAAAACTGATACGTGACAGACAGGGCCTTAATCCAGCAAAGAATTTAAAATTATATTAACTCATTCATTGATGGGGGGGGGGTTACCATCTTTCATATCATGTGTGCTATTAAAGCCCCTTTGTCCGAAACGTCGAACATACGTTTTAAATGTTATAAGCTCGCTGCCATTGAGGAATGTGTTGAAG